CCCCAAAACCCCAAAACCCCAAAGATCCTAAATAGATTCGTATCTGGAAAATGGATATTTTAGACGAGAAATAAAATAATTTTAAGTCTTAAGATAAAGGAATAAGTACAATATATATTAGTGTCTATGTAGATAAAACATACAAGGGTGTTCAGAAGTCAGCATCAAGAGTGAAAACCTTGTCCTCCTTTGTTTGTTTAACGTTGGCCTTCTGGTACTCACCGACTCTCTTTTCAAAGAAGTTAGTTTTGCCTGTTAAAGAAATCATGTCCATCCATTCAAATGGATTCTCGACTTGATAGTACTTTGGTACTCCTAGGGCAAATAGAAGTCTGTCTGCAACGAACATGATGTACTGACTCATGAGTTTTGAGTTCATACCGATCAACTCGACTGGTAGTGACTCACTTACGAACTCCAATTCAATAGTTACTGCGTTGGAGATAATCTCAAGGATTCTCTCGTTGGAGATTTTATTGTTGATGTGCTTGTAGAGGAGACACGCGAAATCGGTGTGCATACCTTCGTCTCTTGAAATCAATTCATTTGAGAATGTGAGACCTGGCATAAGACCACGCTTCTTTAGCCAGAAAATTGAGCAGAAGGAGCCAGAAAAGAATATGCCCTCAACAGCTGCGAAGGCTACAAGTCTCTCGGCGAATTGAGCGGTCTCTCCAATCCATTTGAGTGCCCAATCAGCTTTTTTAGCTACTACTGGTATATTGTGGACAGCTTTGAAGAGAAATTCTTTTTCTTGTGGGTCACTAATTAAAGTGTCAATAAGAAGAGAATAAGTTTCACTGTGGATGTTCTCCATCATCATCTGGAATCCATAGAAACATCTAGCCTCAGGCACTTAGATTTCAGTGCAGAATCTCTGAGCCAAATTTTCATTAACTATACCGTCAGAAGCAGCAAAGAAGGCTAGAACATGCTTAATAAAGTGTCTCTCGTTGTCATTGAGTCTCTCCCAATCCTTAATATCAGTAGCTAGATCAATTTCTTCTGAAGTCCAGAATGCAGCCATTTGATCTTTGTACATTTTCCAGATATCATTGTATTTGATAGGTAGGATAACAAATCTGTTTGGATTTTCTTCCAAAAGTGGCTCTGGGAGTGGTCCTTGAGTCTAGGTGAAGTAGCTGTACTGAGATGCAAGATTGTTTGCATTTTGGAGGATGTTCTATTACTGTCCCTAAAATGTTAGATCTAGATGGAAACTTACGCCAGCTGGAGCTTGGAATTGACTGTTGTGCTGTGAGAAGTTGTTCTTGTTGAACTCCTCTACAGGTTGTTGTGAGTGTTGAGATAAAATTTCTGCAATTTCTTGTTGGTGATCCATTAGTGGTATAAAGTTTGAGTGGGAAGTTTGAGCGCAAAATTCAAATTTATTATAAAGAAGAATTGAGATTTTGAGGGTTTATATATTAGTATGAATCAAGGACTATAGGAAATAAACTAATTTCGCAATTTATCATTTCCTCGCCAATTCTGATATTTTTTTCAAATTTAAATTCATGGGGTTTTGGGGTTTTGGGGTTTTGGGGTTTTGGGG